CGCACTGACCCAGCAGGGGCGATTCCTGAAAGGTCTGCCGGCTTTGGCAGAGCTGTACTACAAGCGGCACGACGATGAACTCCAAGCCCACCTCCATGGATACTGCTTGCGAGTCACCTAGAATGGAATCGACATGAGCAAGCACTCGAAGAAGAAAAAATGGTTACCTTTCATAACTGTTGTTCTTCGAGATGTGTTGCTCATGTCCATTCCATTACCCGCCCTCCTGCCCCTTGGTCGGAGTTGTTGGCAAGAAGGAACTGAGAGGGTGTAGAGATATACTGCGGCATAAGTGCGGCAATCTAGAGGGCGCTACAGCCGGCTTTACCACTAAGGCAAAAATCTCTGATGTTCACGCACATGTGCGCGCACGTACCTAGAATGGAATGGACAAGAGCAACACATCTCAAAGAACAACAGTTATGAAAGGCAGGTAACCTTTTTTTCTTTGTGCTGAGAGGCTCTAGGAGTCATTCCCAGTTAATTATGTCAATTGTGTGAGAACTTGTCTATTCCCTGGGTGGAATCGTGGGAAAGCATTGGAGGACTGTCGTTACTTGAGTGATTTTGCCTGCATCCTCACTACAAAGTGAGCAGTTTCCAGCTTGAGTGAAGCACCCAGGTTCTAACCCACACTCTCAACCGGGCCAACCAGCCCAGACTTAAAGCACCTCCAAACACAGGTCAGAGGTTTTTTTGTGTGGACAGTTGGGGGGTTTGGGCTAAAACCCAGATAGGGGCCTTGGTAATTGTGCAGTGAAGACATACCCCAAGAGGGCTGCCCCTCTTTTGTGGGTGCCACTCAAATAGTTAGAAATACAAAGTGCTGTTCATTTAGACGGGTGCAAAAAGAGTGCCTACGTTGCCAGTGCAAATCGCACCAGCCCTTTAGTAAGTATTCTGCACAGTGTCCCAGCCAGTATCACGGGTGTAAAAAAAGGGGCAAAAATCCTGCAGGGAAAGGGTCTCGCTGAAATGTCGCACTCAGAGGCAGGCGACAAGGCACAGGCTGAGCAAACGCCGGGGAGTGAGAGAGGTGGGGAGTGCCGGCATGTTTGTGAGATTGATTTTTCTTGTGTAAATTATTCAGGGGGAGAAGACGGCACTAGCTGAGAGGCGAGGAACCCAAGGCGGGTGGGGAGGCCGCTGGGCGCTATTTTGAGGAGATTGAACAACTGGTGAAATAGCCTCCAAATAATCTAGTTGCAGCCAGAAATAAATGGCCCTGAATGGGTCTCTTTATGATTGACAGGAGAGTGCAGGCAGGGCAGGGTGGCTAAAATAAATCCTATACTTCTCCCCTACCCCCACCTTTGGTAGGAGTCACCCTATACAGGCCAGAGTTAGCAGCATACTGCTCACACCACTGATTTTTTAGCAGGAGTCAATCAACTTCCAGGCCAGGCTCAAAACCTCAGTTAATACTTGGAGGAAGGGAGAAAAAGAGATTGAACGGCTAGATAGTCCACTGCAGGGAGACTGAAAGGCCCTGTTCCTTTGGAGCACATACTCTGCTACATACCTCTGTGTTCCCCAGAAGCTCTCAGGATCAGCAGAACCACACAGGGGATGCTGCTTCCAAAGACAGTTGTAGGTGGCATGGCTTGAACAGGAGCCAAAAGCAAGCCAAGTAATTCTGCCAGTGGTTCTTGCTCTGCTGATCAGTCACAGGCAGCATGTTGCATTCGACGTTCAAAACGCAAACTGGACCCCTGGAGTATTTCTGTTCCCTGACCAGCTAAGCAGAGCTCTTGGAATCAGGTTTCTGGTCTGAATAGTCAGGATTACAAATGTAAAATTTGCTTTACATGAATGATATGCTTGAATAGTCCCTTAAAATTCACTGTCTTGGCCAGCACACTTGTTTGCTGAAATACTGGCAGAAAGTGACCACAAAAGGGCGTGAACTCAGAGTGAATAGAGTCTTTTACTCAGATGAATAGCCACAGACATGTTTCACTTAGGCACCCACCTCTAATTAAATCCGGGTTGTTTGCTCTAGTGTAGGCAGGATTTTTTGGCAATTATACTAGACGAAACAGACTCCATCTTCTCCACCACCTCTCAGAAGGATTCTTAGCAGGGGTGTTGGATTGGGACCATGTGGAGAGGAAGGAACCTGCAACCAGTGGGAACATGATGTGGTCTCTTGCATAGGGCACTAGGGCTCTGCCACTAAACTGCTATGTGACCTTGGGCAAATCACTTCCTCTCTCTGTGCCTCTGTGTCCTCTCCCACCCTTTGTCTGTCTTATCTATTTATACTGCAGGTGCTTTGGGCAGCGGCCGTCTCTTACAATGTGTATGTACAGCACCTAGCACAATGCCGCCCTGGTCTCAGTTGGGGCCTCTAGGCACCACGGTAATATCAGTAACAATAACCACCCTCCTGTAGACCAGGGGCCAAAGTACCATCCCTGCATCCTCACCTTTGCCTGCTGCCCTTTGACAACTGGCATAGGCCAACGACTCTGCCCTACTCTGTTCAGATTCCTGCACTCTGCCCCCGGTATCGCACCTTCCAGCAGTGCTTTAAGCGATGTGACCACCCATCTATTTGCTGTTTGTTTTTTTCATCATCTCCCCACAGGGAGAAGCGTGTGCAGGGCATGTTGGGTTGGTAGGGTTTTGTTGTTTGTTTTAAAGAGGCCAGATTGTACTACTGTACTTCAAAATGTAAGCAGGTTTGTTTGGTGGGGACTTGCTGTGCAGTCTTTGTGCAGGGCTACCGAGAAGCAAAGATTTACTGATAGGCAAACAATGATCTAAGATGTGTTGACACCAGCAAGTCAGATGAGGTCAGACGTCAGAGTGAAATCTAAAGCCTGGAGTCACCTTGTGGAATTGTGATGGGTCTTTGCTCTGCTGTTCTGAACAAGATCTCCATGCCAGAGGTCACTTAGCTGAACATTGCACAGGTCTGCAGAGCCAGGCTTCATCTACACACTTGGCTGTCACAGCAGGCCCTTTTGCCTGGATGACTCATTTGGCTTTCCCTGTACAGGTGCAGGGAAGTCCAGCCAGGGAATGACTTTTTGTTTTGACCTGTTTTGCTCCTTGTCTCAGTTTTCCCTTAGCTGCCTGTTTGAAGGGCAGTGTCAGAGATAGAGAGAAGTGTCTGTTTCCAATGTGTGGTGAATCTCTTCTGAAAACATACTGTGATTTTAGGAGTTTAGATGTATTGCAGAAAATCCAACCTGGCTCTTTTCACATGAGATGGTTAGAAAGTCCTTTCTTTAGGCAAAGGGAAACACATTTCTAGAGCAAGTGACTAGAACAAAGAATATAAGAGTGAGAGACATTCACTTTTGTTTCAGAAGGAGGGGAGTGAAGGGATCTGACAGGAAGGTGAGGTTGAGGCTATGTCTACACTGATTTTCCACTCACACTTGCTGTCATCATGCTAGTAGCGGCAGTCAAGGCACAGCTGAGCCGTGTCAAGTACAAACCAGTGGGTATGTACTCTTCACAGTCAGGACTCTGGGATCCTATTCCAGCTCTTCACGTGACTGACTGTGTGACCTGGGAACATCACCTTGTATCTCTATGCCTCAGCTTCTCCATCTGCGTAATGGAGAGAACAGCAGCTACCTCACTGTGTTTCGACTGAGCTGCGATTGTGATACTGATTGTTTGTAAAGAATATTTTGCTTCTGGGGTGAAAGGAGTGAAAGGAGCTACAAAGGTGTATGGGAGAATTTTTATTTCCCTCTCCCTAGAATAACAGGGATTTTTCTTTAGTTGACAGGTTTATTAACTGAGAGAGAGAGAATCTTCTCTTGGCCTTTTTAGTGTATCCTTTAACCTGGAACGGGGTGTCATCTTCAGTAAAAGTCCCAGCTAGTTAAGTCACTCGGAGAAATGCAGCAGGACTGTTTAGCTGCTGGGAAATGCAACAAAAGGCCGGTTTGGGAGGAACTTGAATGAAATACAATAATATTCTCTAAGTGGGAAGAACCTTCTTGTCATTCTGCATATTATCTATTTTTTCAGTGGAACCCTGCAGGGTCTGTGTGCCGGTTTCAGATAGGAATGTGTTGAATCACCGACTGGTGCCTGTATCAGACTGGCCTTGCAGAACACAGGATGAACCCATAAAATCAGGGCTGTCCTTAAAATATAGTATGGGTGGTACACAATCTTCCTGCTGGGTCACATCCAAACTATTGACCTAGACAGTCTCCCATGGAACTAGACAGTCCCCATAAGTGGGCTTCAGAATATTTTAAGGTAAAGGCTTAGTTACTTGAACCTGGTGCTTTATATAGAGTCCATGTCAAAAATGGCACATGGCCGAGTACAGGCAGGAGGCCTGCAGGAACCATCCAGCACACGCAGAGTGAGTTACGTTACCTTGACCTGAAGAAGAGCTCTGTATAGCTCAAAATCTTGTCTCTTCCACCAACAGCAGTTGGTCCAATAAAAGATATTACCTCACCCACTTTTTCTCTCTTGTTTACCTTATCCTAGGCTAGGATCTTGGCAAAGTGACAATGTAGATATTACAGTCTGTGAGCAGGTCCTGCTTCTAACTGAAGAGAGCAATCCCGGCCAATCCAACTAGACTTACAGGATCTTTCCCATCTATAATGTCTATGTTTATGAAAACCCTCTGTTCCTGATTTTCAGATATTTAGTTTGGGAGGTGCAAAGTTGGGTCTGTGATGCATATTAGTAGAGAGAATCTAATTTCCTGTTTGTACCTACAAATCATGTAGTACATCTTGATGTGTAGTATTTGCACCTGCAGTGAAGTGCAGACACAAAAATGTAGATGCAGTTTTATGCAGGCACAAACTTGCACCCTCAAAAACAGTGGCCAGGTCATGGAGCACCAGAAAAGTAGGTCCCTTGTGTTCCCACATGATAACAAGAATCGGAAGGGGCCCTTAAGCATGTGTTCACGTAGACCCTTTAGCTCATGAGAACCAAGAGGCAGGCAGAAGGTGACCAACTACTCATAGAGGATGCTGAACATCTCTTCCTTTCTTCTCCTCCAGGCCCTGAGTACCAGAAGAGGAAGCTGCTCCAGGAGATCATTGAGAATGTCGAGAATGTGGCGAACATGGAAGCAGTACTGCCACCAACCAAATCACCACCACCGTCAACCCCTCCAGAAAACCCTCAGCTCCAGGAGAAAGACTCTGACCACCGCAAGGAAAATCCAGCCCGAATGCCATCTCCGAGTCCTGCTGGAACACCGCCGGAGGCAAAGCGGGCAAAGCAGAGTTCACAGAGGGATGGCTTCCTCAGCCCCGGCAACTGGAATGGGGATCACAGCAGAGACGGGAGCCTCACAGGAAGTAGGTCCAGCACACCATCCAATGCACTGTTGGCACATGGGGAGAAGGCAGCAGCCAGTAGCAGACCTGCCTCACAGAACTCCATTCGGCTCAGCAATACCAGGACTTCAGCAGACCAGATGGAGATCAAGCCCCTTCAGAGGATAGTGCAAGAACCTGATGTTGAATTATACCAAGGCTATCACAGCTATGCAGTGAGGACCTCCCCAGTCACTCCCCCCTTGGACTTTGAGGAAGAACCATTCCCTGTCCCCAAATCACCTACCAAGTCGGTCTCCCCAGAGCCAAGAACTGACGTGAGGGCTATTGAACACAAAGCAGAACTTCAGAGGAGGGGAGGTACACCCATCATTCAGCAGGAACCACCACCTGAAGAGAAACCAGTGCCCAAAGTAGAATCTAAACCAGAGCAGTCCGCGCCAGAGCCCAAACATAAACAAGAGCTGAAGCAAAACCATGTAGCCGAGTACAAGGCTGCCGTGAAAACAGAAGCTGCAACTGAAGCCAAGCCTGAGCAAAAGACTGAGACCAAGGCTCTGGCTAAACCTGAACCTACAGTGGTAGCTAAGAAGGAGCCTTCCCCTGAAGCAGTGACACAGGAAGTGGATGAATTTGAAGAGGTGATGTTGCATGGTAGCCTTATTAGAATGGGAATTTTATGCGTGTGGGGCCAGATTTTCAAAGCTGCCTTTGAAATTGTGCATTCTCTTGGGGTGGTTGCACACCTCTCACCAATTTGCATGTGCAAGTGTGGGTACAAAATCTGCACATGCACTTTGGAAGGCTGGTTTGAGAGTTCAACTTCTAGTGAAGCATCTTGCCAGTATCTTGGTTAACTGGAGATAATTTAAATGTAATATAACTTTAGATGAGACCAGATGCCCCAGCGTTTCTTCTGGCCTTAAAATCTATGAAACTATGAAAGATCTCTGGGATAGTTTTATCCATGCCTAATGCAAGGTTTTCTGCTAGCGACCAGGATGGCTCAGGAGATTGGGAATTGACCTTTCACCTCCAGTTCACTGGTTTGTATCTGGAACAACTGGGCAGTGAATATTAACAGGTGAACTTCAAAAGGGTCTGAAGGTTTAGATACTTAGAGTTTCAGAGGCTTCTTCAAACCTTTACAGCCTAGAAATTAGGCTGGAACCCTCATAAGAAGCGGCTTTCCCAGTGTCTGCCGGGTTAAGCTGGACCAGTAATACCACAAAGATGGTGTTTCTCATCTGATTTAAAGATAGTTCTACTTCCAGTCTCAGGTGAAGGAGGTGCTTGGAATCTTTTGTTACAAATATTAATTGTTTTGACTGTCAGATGAAGTTTGGGTTTGACTTTCTGCCTCAAGGTCTGGGTGATTGAAAGGGCGGGTTCTTATTTTATCCTCATTGGCTTACCTCTTCCTAATCAAAAGCTGTTGTTACCACCAGATGGGTTGGTGGCCTGTATCAAGCGAACCATGGTCTAAAGCCACCATAGTGGCCTAGTGGACAGATGCCCACATCACAAAACCCCTGTCCACATAATCTATCTAAGGTACTTTTATGGCCCTTGTTGCCATAGTACCTGAGCGCCTCACAATCTTTTTACTATATTTAACCTCCCAATGTCTCTGTGTTATTACAGATGGGGAGCTGAGGCACAGAGAGACCAACTGTGAGTTTCAAAAGTAACTGGTGATTTCACATGCTTCAATTTGGGGTGCCTCAACCTGGGACAATGTAAAGGGCCCTCATTTTCAGAAAGTGCTGAACACTCATCCCCTGAAAATCAGGCCTATTTCCAGTATCTCAAGCTAGGCTCCCCAAATTTCAGACACTCAGCATCATTAGTTGCTTTTGAAAATCTTGGCCTAAGTGACTTGGCCAAGGTCATACAGGAAGTCTGTGGCAGAGTGAGGAATTGAATGCAGGTTTTCTGTGCTCTGGGCTACCACCCTAACCACTGGACTGTCATTCCTCCCTGATAGTGGGACAGGCCCCTGCCCTGAAATTGGGATCTGAATGTTCCCTGAAGCTCCTGATTGTGTTCTGATGCCAGGTTTAAGTTTGCCCACTAGAGAGGAAGGGGCTGGCCAGCAGATCAGGATCCCAAGTCCTGGGGGCAGTTGAATCTGGGGCTGTGGTTTGGGCTCATGGCTTGAAGGCAGAAGTTTAAAAGTTATTCTGATCCAGTCTGAGGCGGCCCTGATGACAAGCATGTGAGGGTGACTGATCGTTACAGCCTCAGGTTACTGTATAAAAGTGAGAAGGAATCCAGTTACTCTTCAGCCTGAAAGTAATATGCATTCAGTTTGATGACTTTCCTTAGCAGCTGCTTTCTCCTGCCCCAGTTCAGGTAATGGCCTTCCTTTCCCCGGTCATTGTAACCCCAGCTGCTGCTGCAGTCTAGCTATGCAATTCACACGCGTGACACTAAAGGGACCAAAATTGATCCACAACTTCTGGCTTTTGTGCAATGTAATCATTTACATGCATCCAGTTCCCTTTTGGATCCCATAGCCATTTGTAAGAGGGGTTGGTTTGTTTTTTCTCCCAAAGTAACTTTCACAGCCAGTCCTGCCTCTGGATGAAAAAGAGATTGTCACACAGAAAATTATTGTCCAACATTGTATTTAAAATGTTCCTTTGTCTCTCTCTATTCCTGGAATAGTTTTCACACATCAGATGTGGGTGTGTAAAATAAGCGTGTGCTTCATCTCTCTCTCAACCTACAAGGCAATTAAAATTGTTTTTGCCCAGCCCCATGGCAGTGTTGGAACATCAAATAATACAATAAAACAACGACGGAAAATCAATATAACAAGAAAATGGCTTTTCTTTTCTCAACATGCTATTTTCTCTTCTAGTCCCAAATTAAGACAATCTAACAAAAATAAAGTGTTTTTCTTCTTAAAAACAGCAACATTGCCAACATGGACAATTTGTGGCAGAGGCAATGGAATTTTGAAAAACAACTTGAAATGAATTGTACTAGTTGTTTGCACAAGTCCAGAGAGACTGCCAGGGTCTTTTCAGCCTGGTCACATAGCGAAGAAGATTTAATCAAAGGACAAGAGTGAGAGCTGCTGGATACTCAGTACTTTTGAAAATTAGGCCAGTTATTTAGATGTCTAGACTTAGGCACCCATTTTTGAAAGAAATTGGTTTAAAAGTGTCTTTTGAATTGGGTGGTAGCTCAGGGAATTGTAGCTATGTCTGCATTTGAATCATGGTGGTTAATACTTTGCTTTGGCTTTTTTCCCTTAGGGACCTAACACAATCATGATCTGCATGGTCATCTTATTGAATATTGGTCTGGCCATCTTATTTGTACATTTTCTGACATGATGTGCCCCTCAGTCAAGGTAAGATTGACATATACATGGAAATGAAACAGTGAAATGAGTTCAGTGGGAGAAAATTCCCTGCTCCTGTTTTGAATATATTTCCTTAAAGAAAGACTCCAACTTCTTCCTTTTTAAAATGGCCAACTTTGCTGGCTGTGCCAATCACTCACAGCTAATAATTTATTCAATAAGTGTCGCCTCTTTTTGTGTTTGCAATTAGTTTGCAAACCAATAGGGATCTCAAATGTATTCATTATCAAAAACATTAGTTGAAGAATTCTTGGTCAGTTGTTTTTTCATGGGGGTGGGACTTCGTTTTTCAACATTCAAATCTGAACTGTTTTGACTGAGTGTAAGTCACATGATATATTTTTAACCTCCCTCCCCCATCCCAGTTAGATGAGCATGACTTAAAGAGTAAGATTTCCAGCTGTGGTAGAGCTAGCCTGGTTCAGATTAGGGTTAAACTAGGGATCAGAGACTGGTCTGGACACTGAATGGGGATGAAGGTTTAGCTTAGGCTTGGTGGCATTAAAACCTTGCACGCAGTCCCTGTGAGGCTACAGGCCCAAACAGTAAATCTCTCATAAGTTCACACAAGCTTTCTATCATCTTGGGCTGAAAATGTGCAAGAAAACTATTGAATTTTCACCCTAACCTTAGTCCTGACTTGGCCTCAAGCCTGAACTAATGCTCACAGGCCCTTCTTCAGCTCATGCCCATTCAAAGTTTGACTCAAGCTCCTGTTCTGTTGGGATGACCAGTAGCTAAAACAGCTCAGCTAAACTCTGCTTTATTTAGCTTAATGTATTAATCATTATTCCAACGGTGTGAATGAAACCTGTGGGGGGAAATACATTAATAGTCTTTACTGCCTTTTGCAATAGGATAAACAGCAGCTCTTAGTGGCCAGGTTTCAAGTTCATTCCAAATCTGCCCACAGACAACTTGCAGCATGTGAAGCATGTGTTTCGGTCTCAAGGACTGAGCCCAGCTTCCTCCCTTATAAAGGATCCAGGCAGAAAGGGACATGCCATCCTAGCACACTCCCTCTGACCAGAAGCTCCTCCTGCTCTCATACAACATACCTAGGAATGGCTGTACATCTTGCTCTTCACTAACTCTTCCATTGATCTTTGCCCGGAACAGGTGTTACCATTGATGTAGACCATGGACCTTGGCAAGGATTAAACTCTTGGACATATGGAAACATCAAAGAGGAGGACTTTAGAACCTAAAGTTGCACCACAAACATGAACCTTAAAATAAAGCTTTCAGATTATCTGGTTAGCATCACTGCTCCCAGTTGGTGGGTGACTCTCCAGTCCAACAAAAAGAAGCCTGGATTTTTGCAACCCTTCCTCGTTCTTTCCTTTGTAGGAACTAGCCATTGCCTTAAAGTGTTCTCACCAAAGTCACTGATCGTGCCACGGAAGAAGGATTTATCTGTAGTTGTAGAAGCATGTACATTTAAGTGCCCTGAGTTCTTTGACTCCCTTGAGGGACCCCGCGTCAGAGATTTTCCCAGAGAATGTCAGTAAACGCAAGGAGATAATACAATGCACACGTTAGCCAGGAACAGTCATAACAGCCAGGCCAGAGCTGGGGATGTTCAACCACTCCACTAAATCCAAGAGTATTATCAATCCACTGTTAGCAAAAGCCTTAGGCTGCTTCCCCTGCTGCTACAGAAATGGAGTTAAAGTATTTACTAACAAGGCATAGCCTTGAGGGAACCCATAGTTGGAAGGCAGTGAATCTAATATCATCCAAGGTGAAGAAACCAAAAGCATTTCCTCTCCTGGCTTCCGTAATAATTTCCTGCTGAGGGGCAACTGAAATTGGGCTGAGTGTAAAGCCAGCTAGCATCCTCAGACCAGATAGCTGGATCACACACGCTGCTGCTGAAGAACCAGTAGGCAGGTTGCATTGCGTTGTACATGCTTGACAGATGGGCTAATCAGTGGGCACTTGAGTGGGCAAATACTAGCAGATGGAGACCATGTCCGCTTAAGGACTATGCAGCACACACTGGGTCTTGTTGCTGAGAGATGTCCACAACACCAGCAGTTAGATAGGATCATTTTGCAGCAAATTACTCCACAGCTGTAATTTATGAAGAAATATTTGGCCTGAATTCCTTTGTTTCAAACAAACAAACAAACCCCAGTTTAAATGTTGCATTCAGAACCTGATGTAAGTTGCCATTAAACGAGGCAACTAGCTGCCAAATACAGAGATGCCATTATTGCGCATCTCCAGTCCAGTGTCTTCTCTCGCTCATCCTTGGGCTGCAGGCATGGCCTTCCGGCCTTGTTGTTCCAACAAAAGGGAATGGATTTTCGAAACAATTGTATGCAGCACCATTCAAATGAAAGAGGTGAGGTATTTTTGTGAGAAAACAAAACAAGGGATCCAGTCAGACTCCAGTGTATCTGGGCCTCCGGCTGAAAAAGACACAGCACATAGGCTTTAACCAGCAATAAAATAAAGAGGGGACAATTCTAGGCGTTGTTCTGGTGTTGTAGACATAGAGGCCTTAGCGATATGCAATAATCCTTACAAAGAACTACAAACTGACAGTCCGACTGTACTTTTGTAATGAGATATTTCCTTCACAATATGTTCTGACCCTTAGCAATACAAGCATATAAAGATGGCACAGATGAAGTTACAGTTTAGTGAGACTGAGTGCTTGGACAGTTCTTTCTTTTTAAAATCAATATGTATTTTGTATCAATTTCTAAGGTATTTTAAAAATGTATTTACAGTAGATCATGCACCTCATGTACCCTGAAGTCCCACAGCACAGTACCAGCTGGGAGAAAATGAGAGAGAGAAAAGAATGGCAGAAAACTGATGGATAAAGGGAAAAATTAAAACAGTTCCAAATGCCAATCTGTAAGGATTTGAGATACAATGTGGCAAATGTGCAGGGGTTAATACAGATTGGAGACACAGGGGTAAAATCCTCTGTGCAGTTTAGGTATAATTTATCAGTTGTTGAAGATAAAATTCAGATAAACAGGAGTGATAGTTCTTTTCTCCCCCTTCCCCCCTCCCCCGACCACATTTATTTTGTGACTATATTTAGCTCAGGAATGTTGCCACAGTAGCACTTACATGGTATTAATTGTGGGAGGAGAAATTAATTTGATCCCTGTCTGGAAACCATGTGTCTGTTCCAGCCCTGAGAAAGCAGAGAAGTATCTCTTAGGAACTTTCACAGAGCACAGGGGGGTAGCAATTCATCTTTTTTGAACCTGTCTTCTTTTTCTAAATATAAATGTATTGTAAACACCAGGCTCAGTTGCTTTGAAATTTTATGACCCATTTGCTGGCACTTAGTTGCCAGCTGTACCGTTTCAATATGCCTGTTGCTTTTTTTAACCACATATATGATTGAGAGATCTAAGAGATCTTCATTTATCTCTAAGCACAAAACCGGATCTTGTAAAAAATGCTAAGGCGATTTCTCTCCCAGTTTGTATGCATGTGATGTGCACTCAGTAATGTGCTTTGTTCCCAGTAATGTTCTGAGAAAAGTAGATAGATTTGCTTTTATAAACAAAAGCCCTAAGGGGCTACATGCGCATATATATATATATATATATATATATATATATATATATATATAAGAGAGAGAGAGAGAGAGAGAGAGAGACGACACGT